ATTCTTCCTTACGAATGGAATATGAAGAGAATGAGAATGAGATGACATTATGGACATGACTAGTGCGGGTCATAGCTGAAAAAGGTCAAACGGGTGGAACTATGGAGTGTAGCTTCCGAGAGACATTGATAGATTAACGAGAAGCAAACAAATGTTTCCTTTGTAGCGTGGAAAATAATCCATCACCCATAAGGCAGCGTAAACGCTTTTGATCCCTTTCAGAGATGGAGAGTAAGGATTATGTATCTCCAACTCAGATATGACAGCAATGCTCCATTTTCTGACCTGCTCTAGCTCTTATAAATTTAAAGAATGGTAGGGGTAGTCAGTTACTTTCAGGGGTGGTACAAGCAATAATGGTATCCCAAATTTCCAGGAACCTTTTTCTATAAAAGCAGGTAATCTTTTGAAACCTATCCTGCTTATTTTCTTTTCAATGTGAGAATGGAAACAAATCACTTTATATAGTATCAAAAAGTATTAAAACATTTTGATAATTTAATAGAAAACATTTATTTTTTAAGATATTTCTAGATGGAAATTCTGTTCTCATCAAATTTCTGCTCAGTAACATGATGCTTTTTGAGTTTTGCGTTATGATTTCTTAGCCGCATTCGAATTGAATCGCTGCCGTCTCAAAGATCCAATGGAAGAATTACCAAATTTATGGCTAGAAGATTTGCCATAGTTTTAGCTTCAAGACCATTTCTTTTGTCGGAATAAATTATATTCGTCACAGAAAACACTCTTTCAGCTTCCGTAGAAATTACGGCAATGGAGTTGATTATATTTTTAGCTATATATTAATATATGTAAGATTATCTTCAGATAGTCCACGTACCGGTTCGTTATGCTTTTATAATCTTAAGAATCGGTTCGACTTTATCAATACCATTTTCCCAGCATCTTTAGCAGACTTATATCCATTGCGAAGTCTGGAGTATACCGGGTGTGACAGCAAAATTGTCCAAATGGTGTAACAGCAAAATTGTCCAATTGTTAAATTAAGCTTTGAACCGTTGTATCTTAGAACTGATTGAAGATGTTCAGCTTCCCAGAGACATAGTGATAGATTAACGAGAAGAAAACAAATGTTTCGTCTGTAGAAACCGTTTGTAGCGTGGAAAATAGACCATCATCGATAAGGCCGCGTAAACACTTTTGAACCCCTTCAGAGAAAGAGGGTAACTACCTTCAGTCCTGATATGAAAGCAATACTCAATTTTTGTGTCCTGTTGTAGCTCTTCTAAAGTTAGATCAATGTAGGAGTACTCAGTTACTTTCAGGGGCGGTACAAGCAATAACGGCATCCCAAATTTCCAGGAACCGATTCTATAAAAGCAGGTTATGTTTAGGGACCTATTCTGCGTATATTTCTTTTTAATGTGAGAATGGAAACAAACCCCTTTGATAATTCAATAGAAAACATATATTTCCATAAGATATTTCCAGATTGAGATTCAGTTCTCATCATACTTCTGTTTAGAAGTACGATGCTTTTTGACTCTAGTGTCATCGGCTGTGTTATGGTTTCCAAGCCACATTGAAACTGAATCGCTGCAATCCCAAAGATCAAATGGAAGCCCTATCAAATTTATAACTAGAAGATTTGCCACATTTTTAACTTTAAGAAACATCTCTCTCACGTACCAAACGTTTTATGGATTGAGTTGGATCTTTTCTAATTGATCTCTTTAGTTGAACTAATGATCCCTCTTCCTGTTGTGACCTCCTGATCCAGTTTTACTCTTACGCTGTTCCCTTTTTTTTAACTTATTCACCATTCTCTTGATGGTTCTTGAATGGACCTTGAAGACGAAAGCCAGGGTATGAATATTGATACCATAACTGACGGCTTGAATGATCTTTTTCCTCGCACCATTGCTCAGTCGGGAAGACAGTGGGGCTGACACAAAGCGATTTTAAACTATTCTCATTTTTTTTTATTTTTTTAAGCGTTTCACCCCAAGCAAGGCGAGAAGCCACTAGGACGCAAGGGGTTACAGAAAATTTGGATCAAAATCAGATAGGAGTGATAGAAGAAAGGATGCGGAGAAGGATAGTGGATAGACAGATTGAATGGCAACCATTGTAGGAGAAGAAGAACTTATTTAATATTACAACCTCTCTTACTCATTTGGCAATCATAAAATGTGCTTGTGTTACCTGTGTTGCAAACTTGCATGTCCCTGTGTACATTTACAACCATGCGATATTTGAATCCCATACAAACCTTATCACAAAGCTCAAACAAAGAACCTGCAGGTCTTTCTGGTAGGGTTGCATTCGCAGGAGTTTGCACTTGACCTCTCTGTTGTGATCTCACGTGGCTGGCTAAAACAGCCACCGGGAGGGGGATTTTCCACAAATACTGCAGGTGTGTCGGTGTCCTAATAGCTCCGGAACAGATTCTATTTCGCCTTACGTTTGTCTTTTTGCAATTTCTTCCAAACTCTGTTCCCCCATCCATTTACCCAAACACATCAAGTATGTTACGCGCTGTTTTCCTCTGTCCTTCAATCTGTGGTGTGAGTATCAGATTTTCCAAGCCTTCCTTCCTCATTACGTAGCCCAGACATTTCAGTTGTCTCTTAAGTCTAAGTTTCCTTTTCGTTTGCATTTTCTGCAAATCCACGTCGTTGTTCACCTCCGATATCGCTTTCATATAACGAGAGAGTTGAGTGGGAATTAAACTAACTAAAAATGAGACAAAAATAAATGAGCCGAGGTGGGGTACGCGTACCCTAAGTTAACAAAATGGAAAAAAAAGAAAAAAATGTTATCAAATTTTCCATATTCCGGATAATCCACCCAAGACATAATTCGACCCATTAACCGTTGTTAAAGTTTGTATAAGTAATAGGCATACCTATATAAAAAAAAAAATAACACTATGACTTTTTAATGAACATTTTACTTTTAGATAGACCTTAGGCAACAAGTCCAAAAGACTTAAGCGGGGGAGGGAAGCGTACAAGTAATCAGTCGTGTAAACATACCTAAACATACATAAGTCCAAACAAAGTTTTTTTTTTTTTTTTTTTTTTTCAAAAAATAATTTTTCCCCGGTTAGACATGAAACAATACAATGTTGAATATGTCGGTAATAAATAACAAAAAAAAATAATCCCATGATAACCTGCTCCGAGGTAAGGCTAAGCCTTTTATATACAATTCAGAGCAACTTAAGAACGTTGAATATTGGTTCAGTTATGTTTTTAATCTCAGACACAATGGTTTGGTAGATTTTTTTTATTATCATCACGTCACTCGCCTACAAACCAACGCTAATCACTGTACGAACAATTGGGGAGGAAAAAATACATTTTGACATTCTACATTTGCTGTTCAGCAAACGATGAAAACGAATACCTAATATAGATCTATATACAGATATATAAAAATGAATACAAGTTGGTAAAAAAGCACTTTTTATCAAAAAAAAAAAAAAAAAAAAAGACAATAACGCGATGGCCGAAGACAATTCAAGATTCAAACAAACTAAAGAGCCGCTTCCAAGCAATGAAGCGCCTTTGTCGAATAAATCCTCTAATACAGAAGAAAGATTGTCCCTCTTTGAAAAGAATACCCATGAAAAGCACACTGACGTTATTTTCATTGATTCAAGCGACGATCCCATCTTAGAATGTTTATCAGAGAGCAGTTCTGACGACGATTGTGTCTTCGAAGATGCAGGGTATTCCGATCTTGTGTCACTTGGCGGAATAAATCTGACTAGCGAATGTTATGAACCCGTAGATCAAGTTTCCAGGAAAGCAGTGCTAGAATATTTACAAAGAAAATTCTCCCTTTCTCCGTCTACGCCTCAGGAGCCAGTGCCTAGTACATCAGGAATAGAGGTCTTACAAAATAGTATTATCGCTTCTCTTCAGTGTTCCATTCCTGGTCTGGAAGCGAGTACATCAGGAATGGAGGTTTTACGAAATAGACTTTCTTCTCCATCTCTATTGCACTCCCATTGGCGTTCACCGCCCCGATCTCCGCCACTCCGTATCCACCATGACACGGAAGCGAGTACATCAGGAATGGAGGTTTTACGAAATAGACGATCTCCTATTCAACGTCCTCTTCATGAATCAGAGCCGAGTACATCAGGGATTGATGTCTTTCGATTCACTTCACCTCCTCGGCGTTCCGACTGGCGTCCTCCATCTCCTTCTCGGCGTTCCCTAGATGAACCAGGAGCTAATACCTCAGCAGCGACGAAGGTGTTCCGAAGACGACATTCTTTTCCGTACCGGGACTCCCCAGTCTCTCTTCGGCGCTCATCTACAAATCTCCCAACCATCCCTTTCTCTCGCTCTCTTACCGATTCCATTCACACTTCTCGTCGTCCATCGTCTCCCCCCTTAACCGTTCCTCAACATTCTCTCGCTTACTCTCTACGCTCTCCTCCTTCACTCACTTCTCTGCATACATCCCGTAGTTCATCTCCACCTATGCGATCCCTTCATTCCCCCTCTATTGTTGGACCCCCGCGTTCTCGATTCCTTTTCCCCACACCTCCTCCAATTCTGCCCCTTTCTACCGGTTCAGCTGTAGATCCCATTCAGTCGTCACTATCCAAATATTTCAAAGCGGATCTTCCTTCTCCAAATATCTCTGCTTTGAAACCGGCAGACATTGACCAGGTTGAAGATTCAACACTCGCAGGGTCGGCTCTGTTGCGATTACACGACATATTGAATGATCCACCGATCATTCAAGCTTTACTAGAAAGCCATCCTCAGAGTCCATCTTCCGTACCGATGCCTTCGAATCGAACTCGGGATGTGAGAATATCGAAAAATCCCAAATCAGACAGCAAAAAAGAAACATCGTTGATCGAAGTGATCGACCTTACGGAAGAAGGTAAATTTATAAATGAATCTGATGTGCACGATGTCGGCTCCCGGAGAAAGGGTGGGCCATATAAAAATCCATCTTTACAGAGAGATCCACGCTTGAAAAAACCGGAGAAGGACTCTGACAATGTATGATGCACTGTTGAAGGCTATCGTTCGAACGTCCTTCTCAAGTGAAGATGCTGATAACTTTACCTTGCAACGTTAATTTCAGTAAGGAAGGACTTCCTTCTGAAGAACTTTGCTTATTAACGAACCACCATGATAAAAAAATAATAATATAGCGGATACTACCATGGAAATCTGAGAAAAAAAAACATGATTTTCTTTCGTTAAAATTTGCGTGTAAGAAAATGTCTGTGTAAAAGATAAAAATAATACTTGGTACGCCAAAAAAAAAAAAACGAAAAAAAATGCCTTACTGTTTAAAAAGTGTAGGTCGGGGTTATTTTTATATTTAACAAGTATCGGGTAGAGCTTCACACTTATTGAATCTTTATTACCATGGAGTAAAGCATATAATGCTATCCCAGTGAATGAAACCATATCTTACATTTGTTTCTTTAAAAATAAATTCTTCGTAAGTGTTGATCGTTTCCCGTTTGGTACTAATAACGGTAAAGCAAGAATCTTTTAATGTTTTTTTAAAATTAGTCTCGTACACATTCATTTTAACCTCTTAAGTTTGTTCTAAATCAACCCCCACATTAAAACTAGTTAAATAGTTATTATTAGAAAACTCTAGGCTTTTTTTTTTTTTAAATCGATGGCGTGAATCTGGTAAAAATTAACTTAAAAGAACGCAACTTTTAGGTCAGTCTTAATTGATTCAACAAAATTCTGCAGCCTGTTGGATTTTTTTTTTTTTTTTTTTTTCTTCTAATTTAAACGTGTTATAATTATTATTCCTTGTTATTTCTCTGGGGAGACGAGCTTTGCGAACCATAATTCCCAGTTTTTCAGTAGATGCTATTGACAGGGGTTGCGCACTGCTGGAGTGTACTTTTTACTCGAGATGATACCCCCCTCCAAAAAAAAAAAAAAAATATATATTGGAGAACGATTACCAAGAGTGAGCGGTCAAGATTGCAATTCTCAAAAAGGCTTCATATTCTATTTTTTTTTTTTTTTTTTATTCTTGCTTCATGTTCGTTATTTGCTGGTGATTACAAATGTTCCTGCAAAAAGAATGAATTTACAAATAGAACTAAACGATTTTATGTTTAAAATGAAAGTATATCAACTTAAAAAAAAAATGTCATAACACACACTAATTTCAAATTATTTTCCTATGGTATTTCTAATTTCTCGTGATTTCAGAATATGTAACATGACTCCCTCCTTCCAAATGATTCTAAATATCATAAAATGCACCCAGCCGTTTATTTTTCTCCTCCAACAATAACTTTTTTGCATAGGTATTTTGCGTGATGCCCATTTTGGTGATTATGTCTTTTATGATTCCTGATTGATTTGGCAGAAGAATTCCTGCTGTAGACTGGTTGCCAACGAAGGCTATATGTTCCAGTCTGTATTGATATTTAACCCAAAGCTGGAGAAGGGATGGATAACTTTCCTATGAGTATTTGCGCGTAAGGGAATATAACGAAACTAGAGTGGAATTCGAACTCGGCTCTCTGATTTCTCATTAACAGCCGTTATCTATGACACCATCCGCACTTCCTCTTTAGTCGCTATCTATTTCTTTTTATTTCTTTAAAGAAAATTACTTATTTTTGTTGATATGCGACAAATAGGTAATTTTTATTCTGAGTCCTCCATTGTACTAAGGAAAGGAAATCATAGAGGAATGTCAACTGAACATTTTCTTTTTGTCCATTAAAATAGTACCTAAAGACTTTTTCCTGTTAGTCATTTTCTCAAGGATGACATTTCCTCCGGAGAAAGATTCTCGCAAGCAGATTTCTAAAGTAGATTTTAACGCGACCTTTATTCATTCTCGAAATCGCCAATGATTTGATTTCTTTTTCTTAACCGGAAATGTGCGAGGCCCGACACGGAAAGAGGGGCAGAAATTTATTTTACCAAACGGGGATGAGGCTGGGTTCTCGAGATTAATTTCTTTTTAACAGAAGTGAGCAGCGAATATAAAAAAAAAAATAAAATAACCGCATGTGCTATAGTGATTTTCCAAGCGTAGCTTAGATGTGGCACAAGGCCGAATGTATGGGGCACCCAGTGATGATCGAAATCTCTACTCAGTCGTAATTGTTCTAGCGAGACCAACTTGCTAATCATTACACCACCTTGGCGTGCCCAACCGCATGTGCTATATTGTCATTTTTTTTCTTTTAAGCGGAGCTTAGATGTTCATTTTTCTAAGTGTAGCTTAGATGTGGCACAAGGCCGAACGTATGGAGAAACACAGAGAGGATCGAACACGCTATTCAGTTGTAATTGATCTAACAAGGCAAGTTTGCTAACCATTACACAACATATAAATTCTCTAAAATGACCCTAACCCATATCGCACAAAACCTAACGTATGGGGCTACCTAGTGAGGATGTCGCACAAAGCTTAAATTCAGTCGGATTTGATTGAGCAAGACAAGCTTGCTAGCCATTACACCACAACGAGATGCCGATAACGACTGGTCTATAAGATGGGGCTACCATTCATTTCTGTAATCCTGGTTCGAGATTAGGATAATCCTATCAGGTTGATTTTGGTCAAAGATGTCAAACCCAACATACCCAATATTTTCTTTCTCCGAGACTACCACTCAATGCAAGTGAATGCAGTCTGTCCTGTTTAACCCATAGATGGAGGCATTTAGATTCATGCCCTAGCCTTTTCTAAGGGCCTTAACGTTAAAGCGAAAGAAAAATCGGGTAAAATTTGAAATCGACTGATTCCACTCAAAATGGTGAAAACCGTTACGATATCCGACATCTTAATAAACACATGGCACAGTGGATAAAGGCGTTGGTTAGACCCAGTGACAAGACCTAACGAGTGTGAGTTCAATATCCGGTTAAGGCAGTGGAGAACTTTTAGAGGGAAATTAACAGGAGATAACTGATAACTGACATCCATTAAGCATGACACGTCGAACTAGAACAGTCTACCCCAGTGAGCGAAAAAAAAAAGGATTCAGTTCGACATTCCAACCACCCGAAGAACGGCCGAAACATTGTAATAAATATGGCGACAAAGATGAGGACAATATTCCGAATAATGTAAATAATGTACATAATACCTCATCTCAGATATATAGACTGATACTGTGTAGATTTTCTTTTTGAAACATTTTCTTATTCAAGGAAGCCAATGGTAAATATATTAAATTTTAATGGCTAAAAGTCAATTTGAAAAGATACCAGCAGTGATAGAATTTGTATCAGACTAATTGGTCAAAGAGTTGCTCTATAATTGTGGCATTATTTCAGAATAAGCTCAGTTCAGTAAATAACCCGCATCTATCGGAATCTCGAGAATTGATATACTTAGCATCAGATGTTAGTTAATGCTATTTCTCACATAATGACCAAGATCCGTTCCAACAACCTGATCGCTAAACGAGTTAAAGTGATTTTCTAAGCGAAGCTAAAATGTGATACAATGCCTAAAGTTTGAAACACCCAATGAAAATCGAAGAACCAACGACTCGTAGTTGTTTTACAAGCTTGTTAGCCATTGAACCATTTCGAGGGACTCTAAGCTGGTCGCTATATTAATATGGTAAGTTTCAACTTACGCCGAAAATAGTGCGCCAGCAATGAAGATCGAACTCACTACTCAGTCGTAATTGTTTTAGTGAGACAAACTTGCATCACGTCTAATTTAGACGTGGTACAAGTTTGTCTCGCGGGTCTATATATATATATATATACACACACACACAGTGTAACCCGGATATAAGAGAGTTGTCGGGACCGGAGAAGAAGTCTCTTATATCCGGGTTTGGTCTATTTTATATACATTAACACAGGCTCTAATTTGGGACCATAGAAAATCTCTCTTATATCCGGGTTGCACTATATATATATATATATATATATATATATATGAAATAAGTGTGTGTGAAAAATATACATTGTACATATGTAAATTAAAAATAGATATAATCCAAATATATTTAATAAAAACATGTTAATTTTCAGATAATTTGGATGGAATCTATTTCTAATTTCCATATGTATACTGTATATTTTTTTACACGGTTTCCTTTTGCACGGCTGTCTCTGGAACGTATTCCTCCCTCAAAAAGGGTATTGTGTGTATATTCCTTATGTTTGTATCAATAGATAGCATTTTATTTTTAATGCCACTTTTGTACAATTTGTAATGTTTCTAAATGTTTATACCGTATAGTAGGGTATTGACTGGCAAGCGAAAAAAAAAATACGTGCTTGAAGATCGGTTCTATATTCTACACGTGTCTTTGGTTTGTAAACACAAGAGGATTATTTTTTAAGCCACTTCATCTGTTTATTTATTTTGATCAATTCTGAAGAGAAAAAACAGTCACGATGAAATTTATCTTTGAATAAATAATAATAACGACGGGTTAGGCACTTCGATGTGGTGTAATGGTTAACAAACTTGTCTCGCTGAATCAATTACGACTGAATTGTAAGTTTGATCCACACTGGCTGCTCCACCTTTTGGACCTCGTGCCACATTTAAGCTGCGCTTAGAAAATCTTTCTGCACCCTGACGTGTTATAATGGTTAGAAAGCTTGGATGGATCAATTACGACTGAATTGTGAGTTCGATGCACACAGGGTACTCCCTATATTCAACCTTGTGTCACATCTAAGCTACGCTTAGCAAATCACTATTATGACGACTGGTTGGACTTCTATTTTTTTATTTTATTTGACGACCTTTAGTCGTAAGTTCGGAGAAATCGTCAAATAAGAAGTTTCTGGAGTTGTCTCGTTGACTCTTCGGCCCATTTTTATAAGAATTCTTCAAATTATATAAGCACCTTGATTCGATTAGGCTACCGGAGTTTGTTGTGTATATACAGGGTGCCCGCGAAATATTGACATCATTTAAAATGAGTAACTACATGATCCAGGCAGACGAAATTAAATAAGCTTCATCTTGAAAAAAAAAAGATTTATATATCACAATTCGAGCAAGATATTCAAAGGGATATAGATTT